AGAGGGCTACGCGATTTTTTTCTCATCCCCTTTCAAAATAAAAAAAAATACTTTTAATATTCCCCACGGGTTTCACGGGCAATCGCCCGTGGCTGCTATGAGCCATAAATCAAGGAACAAGCACGGTTTGCTACCCATGGGGTGGGGAAATAAGGGTAACAAGAAGGACGTAGAGAAAGAGGGAGAGGCCTTGGCGTGTTAGACGTGCTTAGAACTATTCGGCAACGCAAATTATTGTTATTCATTCGCACGCCCTATACGTATGTACCTTTAACTTTCCCTTTTATTTTATTCCCAAATGATAATTACGGGGGTATTACAAAAGGGCTGGTTTAAACAGGAAAATTACGTGACGAACACTTCGTTACAAGCTCTATCATTTCGACCGTGGCACGGCCTTCGTCAGGATTCGATGATGCAATTGCTTCGGTGAAGGAAGGTGGAGGAGCTCATACCATTTCTTTATCTATCATAGCGCCATTTAGATATTTTTCCATCTTGTAAACACAACCCACGAGTTCAGAATCCCACGAGTTCAGAATTACGACAAACTAAGCGTGAAGGCTTAGGAATTCGAGTGGCGTATCTTTGTTTTCTGCTTAAACGTAAGTTTCGAAATAACGTTAACAGGCAGGCGTCACTGACACAGTCATAATGCCATGACAAATTGGATGACGTCGTGCAACAATAAGGGTACGCACGTAACTAAAATGTTCATAAAATAACAAATGTTGTTTCTTGCAAGATTTTTTTAAATGACTACGATAGTGTGAAACCGAGCAAGCCGACGCACTTTGACTTACCCTTTACATTGCTTTCAGACGCCCCGTATAATGAACTGTCTGTAAGTGTGCCAAATCAATGAAACGTTATGTCAAGACACTCAATGTTCTGTTGCAACAAAATTAATATTATGCGTAAATTTTTGCATGTTACAGTACCTAATAATATATAAATAAGTTGTAATTAAATACCCATTTATCCTGAAGTCACTGATCAAGCGTTTTGGCACAAACAATGAAAACTCAAGATAGAATTCATTATAGGTACTGTCTTGAAACAAGTGCACGCCTTGCTAAAGATAAACCGAAATAAACAGCTTATTTAGAAAAATAATACATATCGCGAACAGTCTCCAGGGCAACAAGAAACTGACGAGAAAGCTAGAGCACCGCGGATATTGGGAGGAACTCCGGAAGCGGCACTGACGACCTCCCAGCTTCAAAGCGGTTGTTGACCGTTTTTTTTTATACACCGCCATACGTGAGTCACGCCACAACACATAGATTTTTTTGTGTGTCTCGCTTTTCTCCCCGGGTGGTGACACACAACGCCATTAGAGACGCCACAAAGCACTCAGCGGTTGCGGCCGCAATTAGGGGCTATAACTCAACGAGCCTGTTGACCGCACCGTGTGAAAAAGGAGATCGGTCACTAAAATGAACTGCAGTGATCGGGTAATTTGTGCAGCGGGTGAATGAAATTGAGCCCGAAGCGGACGACACACGTAAACCTGACCAGAAACTACCGTGTTACGTAATGCTCTTGCCGAAAGAACAGATACAAATGTAGTCTGATACAGTATAACGCATCAGTGCAGCAGGTATGTCATATTATGTATTAAAAAAAAACACAACGCCGCTAAAAACAGCTTCTGAGTGCGCGAGCTCTGTGCGCACTTTGTCAACTTTACCTTTGCGGCGTCGCGTAGATTTAAAAAAGAAAAACATGCACAAGTCACCATTACCGTGAATAGCAACGCAGCAGTGCGGCCACAAAGGTGGCTGAGAAGCGCATTCATGCCGGACTAGTGATGCAATTATCACGTGGTGACGTCACCATATGACGCTATCATGACGTCTCCGATCGACAAAATTTGTGGTTTCATTACGACTTAATTCCCCGTAACAATATTTTTGTGACGTCATGCCACGTAATGTCACATGGTGACATCATCTGCTAAATTACATTGCCGGGCTATACTGGGTGTTCGTCATTAATGGGTGTGAGTGTGGCTTGCTTAGCCTTGTCAGCTAAAGAGGTATCTCGAACTTTGCGGTTGGCGGGTGCAGATTCGCGTAATCAGTGATGACTGCGTGAGCTGTGCTGTATTTTTACACGATGTTTTCTAGGTTATATCGATCCACTGTTAGTACACATGGCATGTGTGATAGCGAATGAAACATAGTTGCAAGTTAGCGCTGTGTGGTGTGTGTCTTCTGTGTCCTTGTCGTGGTGCGCTATAGCCATATGAATGGTGACGTTAACAAGGTGCTTGATTGGGCTGGTTGGTGCTGCATGGTAGACGAACAAAGTGCTTAACAGCGCAAACGACAGGAGGGGATCGAAGAGACGAGAACAGAGCGTCTCTTCTATCCCCTCCTGTCGTTTGCGCTGTTAGCACTTTCTTCGTCTAGAATGGTGACGTCATCACATTACGTCGCAACTTGGTCAAAAGTGGTCTGATTAACAAAGCAGTGCAAAAACAGGTGAGGTGCCTCCGATCGCGGAGGTAATGCAGAACCACGCTAGGTGCGGAAAGCTTCCGGGGGGTGGCAAAGTGAGATCTATCAATATATCGACTCAGATGAAAAATAGCACGGGCTTTCGCCTTCCATTGTCTTTGCTGTGTGCATAAGGGGCTGAGTTTTTTTATATTTTATTGTCCCTACTCTTCATAATGTGCTAATATATACATTGAGGGCAGCTGAAAATTAAAATGCGCAGAATGAAAGTTGCGTGAAAGTCTTGAACTAGGCATCATATTGTTACCACATATGTAATTTGTAATATTGTTACCACATATGAATAAACCACTCTCGTAGACATAACAATATTATTGGCTACACACGTAAATCCATAAAGTACACGAAAGAAGTGAATGTCGTCATGGAAAATTTCCAGCAAGCTAACAAGCAAGGTCGATAGCGCGCTCGCGCCAGAGATGTCATCGCCAGCTGTGTGGCTCCGTATCACGTTTTGATACAATGTAAATATTGACTATTTGTGCGGCGAAAAGCCAGCGTGTAAAGCTCGGTGAGTCACGATGTCACTGTAGTCTACAAGGGTCTGGACACAGTAGAAAAGTTCGTCGGCCATTTGTAGTTCGGAAAGGCCACTGAAGGGCGAATGAGTGTTTGTGACTGTTTATACAAAATGCACGTTTGAGAGACACAGTAGAGGAAACATGACCACGATTTAGAATAACAGAAAGACCAGCTAGCTTTGTAGGTATTCATGTTTCTCGGGTCTTCACTTCTTTCTTACGTCTGTGATTGCATTCCCATCCTTTTAACGCGCGGAAAATCATGCAGGGTCCGTTGTGCATTCGACGCCCGCGCCACTGAGCGAGCAAATTAAGTGCGCTTACGGGGGAATACGCTTCGAAACGCCGACTGAGACCAGAGTCTTTTAAGGGTCGCAGTACTAATGTCTACGGTCTTACGTGCCAGAGCCGCGACCCGAGGCACGCGGTAGTGGAGGGCTCTGAAAATTTCGACCACCTGGTGTTCTCTATAACGTGCGCTGACACTGCTCAGTACACGGGCCTGTACACCATTTTTCTGCATTCAAGCGCGACCACCGTGACTGGGATCGAACCCGCGACCTTCGTGTCAGCGGCTGAGCACTGTAAGCGCTACACCAGCGCAACGGGCAGTCTTTCAGAATATGCGTCGCTAAACGGGAAAACAGTGCACGCACATTGAAGTAAATAAGAAATGGCAACAGTCTGTAAGCCCATATATATATATATATATATATATATATATATATATATATATATATATAGATCGTCGTCATATATATAAGCAAGTCATCCGGCGTTTTCATTCCCTGCTGACGTGTTCTGCAAACTGAACGGCTAAAATTCGTCAGCAATTTAAATTGCGCATAAGGCACTAAGTATAGTTAGTTTACGTTCATTCTGAAGGCTTATTAACTGCGCTATTAAACACATTCTACCATGATGTTGGGATAGCCGGCTCTAATGTAGCCTACTTTCTCATATTTTTGTTTTGCGAAATTTATATTTAAAAAAATCTGACGAAGGCGAGTGAAAGACAAGACGCGCGTAAGTTGTGCGCGCGTCCAGTCGCGTTCACTCACCTTCGATCGTGTTCAGTAACGCAGTTGGTAATTTTAAAATGAACATATATGCTGCAATGTAACAAATATGTTTATCGGTAAATTCTACACAGTTCTATAATACGTGTCTATATATTGCGCAAATACTGCCTGCAGTGTGGAGTAATCAAGCTCAAAAACTACAATTAGACTATCCGTGAGATAAAAAAAAAAACGTGCATGTGAGAAACGTATCCGGCGTTTAAAAGGGGCGTCGCAGTAATAACGAAAATTCAATACATGTTAAGAATTTAACAGTACGAATATATATCGCACCACAAAAGAATAACCTGGGTCTGCGCGCCTGCGGAGCAAAAAAGGCGTTTTCGGGCGATAGCCAGAGAATTTTTTCGACACTGTCGACCAGTCGAACGCCAGCAGAGAGACACGCCCACGCAACACCTACGTGAGAAATTATTAAGGTATGCGAAACCGGAAGGCGAGCGGTAATACATCGATAACAACAAAAAATTAATATAACTAATATCCGGGCATTTACGAGCCAAAACCACGATATCGTTACAAGGCACGAAGCAGTGGAGGGCTACGGAAATTTCTACCATCTGACGTTCTTTAATGTGCACTGACATATACAGCACGGTACACGGGCTTCGACTATTGCACCTCCACCTAAATGCGTCCTCTACGACCGGGATCAAAACCGCGACTACCGCGTCAGTAAAATTATGACGAAAGAACCACAGTTGCTGAACTTTTCATTCAGCGGCCGTTAAAGAACAATCAACGAACGATACAGGCAAACGTTAAATTTAGAAGTGACACTATACCAGGTAAACAGCGCGCCTGCAGTGCAAAAACAAAAAAACAACAAAAATATACAAGCAAATGTGAGATTAAGAAAGTTGTGTATTTACCGACGACGAGAACGGACTGCCACCGCCGTTGAAGCGGTCGATCCGGCGTCGCCGGGAAGTCGTCCTCCACAGACGTCATCCACGTCAAAGCTTGCGACGATCGCCAGCGAATATTCCAAGGTCGAAGAAAAGCGGAGAAGTACGACGCACACCCGCACGGCCCAAGCACTGTATCCCGATATTCTCGCTACAATGCAAGAACAACGCGCTTCTTACAAGCACACATCCATGTTCCACCGCAGCAGAGACGAGCACTCCGGGAAAGACGAGGCCGCAGAGCGCGACCGCAGAGAAGGACCTGTGGGGATTCCGGTCGCTAACGGCGGCACACCGCTGGAGTACCGCACTGCGGGTCGCGTGACATCGCTGCGACACCGACGACGATTGTGGAGGTAAAAAAAATGCGAGCCGAGACAAGACAAAAAGCGGAAGCCGTGCATCGCGCAAAAAGAGCGACGCGAAAGCGCGCCCTAACGGTGACCGAGTGAAATCCCTATTGGCGCATGCGGACAATCACTTAAGGCAGGGTGACGTAGACACCGAGATAACGTTGTTGACGTTATCAGCAATGCCGACAACGGCGCCTGTCGGTCGTCACAGGGTGAGCGTCTCTGCGCGCAAGTTCCGTGCACTGGGCTCTATTCCGGGACACGCGCACTTTGCCATTCACATGCGGAGCGGACGTATTCGTCAATTAAAGCCCCACTTTTCAAACAAAAAGTTGTCAGCTGCGGCATCGGTAGCCCGACTGCACCCATGCATCTCACACGTTCCGCTAACCATATGCTGAGTTTCTTGTAGCTACGTTATAGCCATTTTATCTCTTTAGTGTTCCTTCTCCGTGATGCTCTTTTCTATCTTAGCGCAATTTTTCCTGCATATAATGAACCAGCTAGACCCTCAAAACGCCCTGATCAACGTATGTAGACGCACCTCAGGCGACATCTTCACTGTTCTGCATGCTAAATTTTCGACACAGCCGTATACCGATTTCTTGAGTGCACGCAACGGATTATTCTGTCCTGTGAGGCATTCTACATTCGACAGACGGAAAGGTGCGTCAAGAATTGGTGTAGTATTGGGTTGCAATCGAGGGGAACATCATTCAGGACTATTCTGTTTGTAAGGGTAACCCAAATTGTAGCAACATGCTATTTTGGCGCAACACAGACAAAATTAAAAGAACAATCACAGGTATAAGCATACAGTATATGCTATCGGGAAAGTTTGGAGCGTGCCTGATCTCTCTCTCCACAGCACTTACAGATAGACATGTGGCACTTCTGGCGAAGCAAAGATTAATTTAATCGCCGCATCCATCTTATACAATGACACTGTGTAATCATATATTTTGAAAAGATAAATGCACGCGTTTTCTAAGTAGTGAGCGCCCATGTTGGCTCATGCGCGGTTTGCCTACAGTGTCCTCTCCTTTGCATGTTCCCACCTCCTTTTCTTTAGCCTTTCACTTCATTATATCAATCGATAGATGCGCTTAATGTGTACATTTCGTCACAGTTTTATCTGTTTTCAAGTCCGCAGCGCTGCCTTTATCATACAGTGCAAAAGGGTCACTTTCCTCCCCAAATTCATGACAGCGCACGTTAAAAAGCACCAGATGGTCAGTATCTTCGGAACCCTCCAGTGCGACGACCCTCACTATCATGTGGTGGTTTTGAGACATAAAATGCCAGATTATTATTATCAGGCTACGATAGTGTTCTTCTCCTCGGCCAGCCGCCGCAGCACAGGTTTGCATCCTCCACGACGAAATGCTGCCGAAACTCATGCAATCAGCCACCCGTCTAAAACAGATGTTCACTGCTCTTATGTTTTTGTGTGGGGGAATGGAGTTTAACGTCCCAAAACCACTGTATGATTACGAGAGTGGCCGTAGTTGAGGGCTCCGGAAATATCGACCACCTGGGGTTCTTTGACCAGCACCCAAATCTGAGCACACGGGCCTACAAAATTTTCGCCTCCACCACAAATGCAGTTGCGATTCAATCCCGCGGCCTGCGGGTCAGCATTCGAACGCCATAAACAATAGACCACTATGGCTGTTTATACGGATGCTATAACCTTCTCAAATATTTGTGTGCACAGTGCCACGGAGTGTGCGGAACGTCACCAACTCAAAGTTCTTCCCTTACCGGGTCGTTGTAATGCACCATGGAACACGATAAATCTCGTTATCGCAATCTATTACGTGTATTTCCGTGATGTATCATGTGCCTTCATTACTGCGCGTCTTCTTTCGAGTAGTCCTCTTTTTAATTAGGCGCAGTTGACAATCATTTGACGCATCGGTTGACGACAGTGATAACTACAGGGATTAAAATAGTAATGTTATTTTTGATCCACGTAGTTATGACTGTCATCAACCGACGTATCAAAATCAGTTTCTACTACCACCCCCCTCTTTTTTTTTGCCAGAAAAGCAAAGCAAAGAAAGCTTCCGCTTTACAAGCGGCTCCGCACAATGACTAAAAATATACAGGCGCTATAAGTCCAGCGCTTGTCTTGTCTCTTACTCTGTAGTCCTTGCGCGTGTCCGCTAGAAAAGTGGAAGCATTCAGTCAATACAAAGAAGCCGAGCTAATTGCATTAACAAGACGAAAAAAGAAACCCTGGATCTGCGCACGGAATGAAGGAGTGGTACAGTATACTGCAGCGGTAGCAGGCGAGTCCGTGAACCGGTGATAGAAGGTCGCACGGGCGTCCTTCGCGCAAGATTAGATTGCCGACCAAGGGCTCTCCGGACAGGCCGAGGATGCTCCGAGTGCAACTATTATACGTATACACTGTACACACACGTGCGGGGGGGAGACACAAAGAATGCGGCCCACCGTCCCTGACACGAGAGCCAACGTCGGAAGAGCCTTCGCGTTGTCAGCAGCAAGGCGTCAGGGTAACAACAACGCTCGTAAAAATAACGGTGCGGCCATCGAAACCGTTCTCACGCAGGCGCCACCATCGCTCGATGAAATCGACACGGAAGCAATTACACGCTCGGCGACTCCGCAGCGGCGCACCGCAGAATGTGACTAATAGCGTGCGCATGCGCAGTATAGCACGGGATGAGCACACCAAGAACAACAACGCGTATACAGAGGAGTAATCTGGCGCTATCGCGCGCCCGCTTATAATCCACGCATTGCGAGGCATGAATAAACGTGCAGCGTGTAACCTACATTGGTACAGTGCGCGCTGAAGAATGAAGGAAAGGGAGATGAACGAGGGAGGGGAGCGACGACGATCAAAGTGAAATCATCAACTCCCGTCGCTAATACCGTGCAGTGGCGCGGAAGCCATGGGCCATGCTTAGTTTTAAGGAACGCCTGAGAAACTGTGGAATAAGCATAGATGCCCACCACGGTGGATCAGTGATTACGGTGCTCGGTTGCCCACCCGAAGGTCGCGGGTTCGATCTCGACCACGGTGGTCGCTTTTCAGTAGACGCGAAATGATTGAGGCCCGTGTAGTGTGCTTGCAACGTCAGTTCACGTTAAACAACACCAGATGGTCGAAATTTCCGGAGTCCTCCTGACATTATTCCCATCGCGGTTTCGGAACCCAAGACCCTACGTTATATTATTATGCGCTGTTTGAATGAAAATAGCGCCTTTACTATACCACCACCGCAACACTACACATCAAAAAGGTGAACACGAATTGTGACTTTTCTTCATTAATTTTCGAGGTAAGACAGTGCATGTTGCGCAGATTATGGAGGCCTTGCTGAGGGCGTATAGTTTGTCATGAAGAGTTACCAGAGAGAACAATGGCATTGCAGTGGTCTGACTGTACACTGTCGTTCTTTATGAAAGGGAACACGCGAACGCGTGGCCTGCGGTCTGCGGCGGCTGCCTATACAGCACCATCAACCGACAAGTGAAGAAAGCATGCTCACTTTTGGCGTAATCTATGACCAAGCAAGATAACGAGTCATGGCTAGTAGACAAGCTTGCTAAATTCCGTTTCCTCTCGCCACTATAGCTCGGTGAGCGATATTGGGCGATTACTGCAGCTTGCGCCGCGGTCGCGCACAACGTTTGATATGTTGGCAGTGCACTACGCACTGCAGGCGCGAGCAGAGAAGGAGAGCAATCTAGAAGCGCTTGTCTACCGACCGTGACTCGTTATTTATTATTTCTTTGGCAACAGATGACGCTGAAAGCGAACGTGTTTTCTTTTTGCTGTCATTTGATGGTGCTGTAGGCAGCCGCCGCAGAGGGCAGGCCACGCGTTCGCGTGTTCCCTTTCATAAAGGACGACAGTGTACGTCTTGGCTACTGACTTCTTCAGTAGCTCCATACGTCGTCATGGCGTTAATTATCATGCCGTGTCTTTCTAAATTATCGAGAAAACACTGCAGTAATACATAAGTTGCTGTGCACTACGACATCATTACAAACTGTCGCATTTATAACAATTCATTTCGTGCCGTGTCCTTCTAAATTATCGAGAAAACACTGCAGTAATACATAAGTTGCTGTGCACTACGACATCATTACAAACTGTCGCATTTATAACAATTCATTTCGTCGACAATTATCTATAGGTTCCATGCCACTAAGTCCACCGAAGCGCGCAAAGCAAAGTTAGAGGGCCTCTATAAACAGCCTCTAAAAATTAGTCATTGTTTCTGGCGTTTTCCGTCTCACGTTTTCCGTCTCACGTCAGCAGATTGCTCACGTGACGTCAGGATGAAATAAGCTCTTTGTTTACCGATAAACCAGAGATACCAGATGTGGATTATCACCTACCCTGATGTGTCACGCAGTCGAATTCCCGGTCTTCTTTGTCTCGCATTTGAAGCGTGCGCGATAAACCGAATTCACTTCGTTTTCTAGATTTGCAACTGCGCAAGCTGAGACATAGCAGCTTGTAACCGGAAAGCGCGAAATCCTGGCTTAACGCGTAAACTGCTGACGTTCCACGTGTTTTATAAAAAAATAAGAGGCTAAGAGGATAATTAAGCGCTTGGAGGAAGAATATATCGGCGAGAAAGAAATTACTGTCTCGCCTTTGAACCCTGTGTTGTTGGGCACGGTTACCCAACAATTTGTGATTTCCAGCGGTAATGCAAGTAAGGGGGGGGGGGGGGGTCTATTAAGCCTACGCATACGTGAAAAGTGCACCGTAAGATATTTCAGCACAAAACAACGAAATCAAAGTCACCGGCTATTAACCCCGCACACCACCGCGGCGACCACCGTTTTAGCATGGCGTGAGTGACGTCATGTGCTTCACGGAGTGGAGCCACTCGTCCACCAAAGTTCGCTTTCAGCGCCAAGCTGAAGAAAACTAAAATACGCGCAGCCTATATAGTCGCGGAAGAACGTCGTAAGCTGGGAGGAATGCAGACGCTCGCACAGAAAGC